CTGCTGGAGTTGTTTAGTTCGACCTTATATATTAATGCAAGCTCTATGAGCATGACCTGTGTGGAATGAGGAAGTTTTCGTAGAATAATATGCATGCTGACGTGATCGACTCTTTCATATAACTCAATTGACACCAATGTATAATCATTTCAACCTGCAGGCCTTGCAAACACCTCCATATTATACATACTCATCATAGTTTGTCAGTCTAGTTGGTCCCAAATACTGCAGTTTTTCAGGAAATATCCCAGAGGGCCAACCAAGCCCTTGCTTTTTTTTTTGTCAATCACTTTTTTATTTAGGCAGATTCAAGGTACAAGACAAACAAAATGGAGTTTGAGCAGAAGTTACAGACATAACCAGGCTGAGCATATATAAGAAACATGGATACATTAGTGGGTATAGATACGTGTAGGGTAACTCCAGGAATAGTCGGCCTCATTTTAAAATACAGTGAGTGGAACAGGATAGATATGCATGAGTAAAGAATTATAAAATAAACACGACAGGTATGCATGAGCGTAATATAGAAAACCATGCTGGGTGAACATATATACACAAAGAATTAGTGTGTCTGGGTACTGGCTGCTATGTAGTGAGAGAACAAATATTTCTGCACTATTGACATGCTGGAAATCTATAATGGAGACATTCAGAAATAATTAAGTCAATGCCCCTGGTAGGAAACAGTTCACCCTCCCCCACACAGTCTTGTATAGACTTACAGACTTAATGCTCATGGTCAGTAGCAGGTATGCATTCACTTTCTTGGGCCCAGAACTTGAAAGTGGCCAGGACCGCATTTCAAAGGCCGCCCCTTCTCCTCTCGGTACAAGCCCTTGCTTTTAATCATCTGTAACTCCTCCTCACTATATTCAATCTGTGAGAGCCTGATCAGTGATGACACTGCCCCAGGAGACTGAGCACAGCATCATATGGAGGGAGAGAGGAGAGGACACATCGCAAGATGTCCCACATCATTAAGGTTTAGTTGACCATGCTGAAACACTTGGGTGGTGTAAGCCTCCCTTGGTGGCCGTGTTTTTACATGCAGTACAATTACTGTGCTCACACAATTTGAGTCGCTCTGCTCCTCTAGGGAACATGTCTCTAGAGGGGCTCGATATTATATGCCATGATACAGGCAGGAGGGAGCGACAGAGCCCCCAAGGTTCATAATGGGAGAGGGAGATATCAGTTCAAAATACCAGGAGATGAGCTATAAAGTCCTAACTAATTGGTATAGGACTTTAGATGTGATACACCACATGAACGCTGCAATACAGGAGACCTATTGGCGTGTGTCTCTGCCACCGGCAGAATGCTTCATGTCTGGTGGTCTTGTCCAGATATAACACCCTACTGCGTGCAGATACAGTCAAAGATCAGGAAATTCACGGACTCAGATATCC